GGTTCCCTCACGTAAAGTTTCTCCGGTTCAAAATCCGCCTTAATTCGCGGATTCAGTATCACTTTCCTATCGTTGATCGGGACTCAGACCGTTCCCAGATCTCCCCAGTTCGGAATCCACCGTACTATTGTTTTTCTCTATCGCTGAAGGAACCTCACGGCTCTCTCAAACTTCAGTCTCCCTTCAGATTCTCTCATTCTCCTTATATCCCTCTATCACCATCTATCGCCTAATCATCCTTCTGTGATCCCTTGTTCTTCTGCCACCCCTGTCGGTCTCAGCCCATTTTATCTCTTGCCCAATGGGTGCCAATGGCTCGGTGCACATTGAAAGTTTTCAGACGCGCTGTCGTCACCGAATCGTGGAAAAACGAAAGCACAATGTTACGGGCATCTCTTTTTGACGGTCGGGACAGCCTGGGAAAGAGGGTCCAAATCTTTGACCACCCAGTTACGAAATTCTATCCCAGCAATTAGGGAAATGTCTGGATTTTTCCCAACGTCTGTCGGCAAGGGGGAAGAAACCGGCTTCGTCAAAATTAGAACCAATCCGGAGTCTGTAGTTGCAAATGGGGCGGAGCTAGCTAGGGAAAGGAAAACGAAATTAGCTCCCTCCGGAGTGGAACAACTGTGACGTAAATGGTCACGTACATCCCAACGATACACAGAGTAGGTGATCCCAAAGTTTCATCCTTCTATCTCTGTAATATCGTTACGTCATCGAAAGATTGAACCCCATAGGAAAAACATGGGATTCTAATTTTAGTGATAACGCCCCCCAATCCCGTGATCTATACACGAATTATAACAGATGAAACAGCTCCACGAGGAGAACCTATGTTCCGCGTTTCAGTAATGAATCTCAAAAATACTCGGAGCTATGCGGGATTTAAAAAAAATTATAACTTTAAAATAATTTTAAAATGTTAAATGTGGGTAAAGAAATGGAGCTATGGTTATGGAAAAATATATCTAGGATGCTCATAGGAAGAACAATTGAATCCAGCCGGTGCGGTCGACCAAGGTGGCATAGGATTCGAGTTATTTCTGGGGAAGCTCTGTAGGGGGAGAGGGCCAATTCCACGTAACACTCGCGCTAATACGAAAATATGACGGACTTCCAAAAATCAAGTTCCAAGCTCAATTCCTTAGGGGGAGTGAAATTTTTTCCAGTACCCATAGGATTAACATGGGAGCATGATATTTTAGTGCTTAAGCCCTCCTCATTCCTACACAATGGGAATGAAGCAGATGACTAGATGGGTCTTGACGAGTGGAACACTTGGTTAAAATTTCAATTCCGAGTCTCGAACAGGAGCCAAGATATTGTGAATTTAAACAAATTTAAAGTTTAAAACAATTAAAAACTATAGAAGAAATAGCCCTATGAGCATAAAACTATAATAACTGGAAGAGCAGATAGAGAGGGATCGAATGAGCCAGGTCCTAATGGACTGTGAGATTCGGGTGTGAGACATTGTCCAAAAAGCTGTTGAGGGGGAATGCTCAGGAGGAATGCGTCTCAACAGATATGGTTTATAACAATAGTTATTATGATCCCACAAATATCAGTCCCATAACACCAAAAAAGTGTCATGTTAAAATATTAGACAACGTTGTGCGCATCGGTGTCGTGAAGGTATGCACACGCATCTTAAAAATTTACCCTCATCCTTTTTCCCTAACGCAAAAAAAGGAGGATAACTTCAAAAATAAATATCCGAATACAAAAGGCTCTTATAATTTGCTACAATGTAATATATATATATATATATATATAAATGTGCTTATTTTCATCGCAATGCGTTCGTAGTAACTCTACATCTATAATCATATACTTACAATTGTTATTTAAATAGGTAAACTAATATTTACTCTTATGTTTTATGTATATGAAACACAATTTAAAGATTAATTTACTATTTTTTTTAATTTCCTGTAAGTATGTTTGGTTTAATAAGAAAAAGTGTTCAAACAAATGCATCAGATAAGTTCCGTAGGTAGGCGAAAGACGATCTCTTCGTACTAGCAGTGACGTCACAAATCAGCGCAAAGCAAATGTTCACAGACATGGAGGGTATAGATCAGCGGTAGAGCATTGGACTGCTAATCGAGAGGTCCCCGGTTCAAACCAAGGTGTCTTCTTCAATGAAGTGAAGAGAAATAGTTTTTGAGAATTTCGAAGGCGGGAATGATCTGTCCCTTTCTAAATATTTCTAATCAAAGCATTTTCGTATCCGTTCCTATGGAACGCAAAGCAAAGTTTAACTGACGTGGGGGTATAGCTCAGTGGTAGATCATTTGACTGCAGATCGAGTGGTTTCCGGTTCAAACCCGGTTGTCCCCTTCTTCAGGGAAGTGAAGAGAAGTATTTTCCTGAGAATTTTTTTTAAGGAGGCAATGATCTGTCTCATTCCGTATATTTCTAGACAAAGCATTTTAGCATCCGTGACGATGTGCGCGCGCATCGTACAAATTCACTTTCATCCTATTTCTCTAACGCCCCAAAAGAAGCATAACTTCAAAAAATACATTTACACTCATATAATGCATTTATAAGTGTATAAGTAATATAGAATGAACTTTATGATTATCTTAACAATAATAAGTTAAAAACAAGTTTAATAATTACCAGTGACCGCACGGGTTGGTCATAAATAAAATTATAAGCAAAAATTAACACTTATCTGGATCATTTTTTGTGCTGCTTATAATTAAACCTTTAACTGCAAATTAAATGTTACGCGATTCACTCCCCTATGCCACTGTTTTGCCCGTATGAACGCATATGTGGTGTATTTGGAAGGGGGGGGGGGAGAAAGGGAAAATAAGAAAATCCTCTGAAATAATACTTCTCAAACAATGTTAAGGTCATTTTATTGCATTCCAAAAACTTCGGAATAATTTTGTGGATAGTACTGAACATATTTCGTAAAGACGTATATATACGTCCGGGGCCATTTACGCACTGTCTGAGCGATAAGTTTATATACGCAGGTGGCGAAGAAGTTAAAGTCGTATTGTAGATTTAGCGTCAAAGTATCGTATTATCGAATTCAATACATCATTTTTGTATGGAGGGGGGTGCGATGAAAATTGTGATTGAATATTGGGTCGCAAGTATTGAAAAAAGTTTGAGAAGCACTGTCATAAAGACATCATCAGAATTTACACATTTTTATAAGGTGGCCAATATAGAGATATAAATGTACACGTATATGTGGTAGAAAATAGAGGTAGTACTAACATATATATAGAGAGAGAGCAAAGATTAATATATAAATGATTGGAAAAATTATTATGTTTACTTGACGCTTTTACGGAGATGAACCGTAACGCTGCTTTCAGAGATGAGCTGCTTCACGTAGTTGCCACTAGAGGAGGGCAAGATACCTATTCATACGAAGTGCAGGAATACTTAAACATCAATTTCTCTGTGTTACTTCTCAAATAAATAGGGAAAAACATGATTTAACCGTGTTTGAATGCGGGATGTTTGTAGGTGCTCAAAACATTGAAACCATTATCAGTAAAACGACTGCACCTGTAAAGTGTTCGGGAGAAGCAGCTATTCCGGTTTACAGAGAGTGAATTCCAAGTAGAGAACCCGGTCTTAACGTCAGGATTGTGGTCATCACAGGCTATGAAAGTTCGTTCGAAAAGGAAAGTTACGAAAATTGTTACAGGCCTTGGCCCTCATGGGTTGTTGCGCCACTGATTTCAGTAAGAGTTGAAAAATAACATAGTTAAGTGCTTTTCATTTAGTTTTCAAGAGGTGAAAATACCTAAATAAATTTATCATTTTGAAATTTTTTGAGACAATTGTTAGGTAAAACATACTAATCAGTTTCATGTAATTATGAGCAAAGTTCACATTTCCAAGTGAGTGTTTATAAACGTTGGACTCTTAAACAACACGGATGTTATTGACGATGAAATTTGAAATTTGATCCACGGTCAAGTGATGAGGACAAGACATAAGTTGCCACTACATCCTTTTAACTTCCATACCATTGCAACACGAAGACTGTAATCCATGACAGATCTAATGTGTATCCACGCCACTGAATGGTAAGTTTTCAGTACTATCGGGATTCAAATCCATGACATGACATCGCCGGCTAAGATTTTGGGAACATAGCTAATAATCTATTGCGGCCACTTATACATTTCAAGTTAGTGTAATTTACAAAGGCCATTCTGAAACTGTTTAGATACATCTTTTAAAGCTATACTTAGAAAGATTTAGGAGTGTTCAAAGTGCTCTTTACCAGCATCATATTTTGTAGACGAATTTTTCACAAATTAAATGTCTCAAACCATTCACTTTTTATAATTGATGAAAAAAATACACATTTATGCATTTATTTATCAATGTTTTCTTGACATGTTGAAACTTCAAAAAACAATATGTACTTTTCATCACCCGTTGCAATTTTTGAAATGATGCCGTGATCCACCATCATTTAGGAATTTACGGGTTTCCTTGCTGATTCTAACACGCTCCTCTTTTATGTGCTGAGTTAGATTATGGAGAACTCAACAGCAAACTACTTTTTTACATTTATTTATTCTTGAATAATTTTGTGCATGGCTTAGGATCCAACGTTAATTTCATTCTGTACCATTTAGTAGTAGTAGTACCATTTTTCGTATGGCAGACACATTATCCGGGATTAATGCCGGTCGTGGCCTTAATGTGTGTTCTTCATTCTGAAAAGAACTGAGACCGCTGCAAAATTATTTAAACCATCTGAATACATCTGTAGCACGACATAGAGATTCATCACCAAATGATTACTGTAGCCGTTGAACGTATTCTTTTTGATTTAATCGCACTTTAAAATAGTAGAAAATCATAGCACGATAATGTTCTCACGTCAATTCCATTTTCTCTTCTAGCTAAAATGTGTATTCTACGCTAAAAAAACTTGAAGTGTCAGTAAAAATTATCTGCTGTGTTAAAATACCTTGTATTTTGAAATTAAACGGTTCATTTTTTTGTAACTTCTAGTCTGTGGATATCTAAAAAATTTAGAGATACCCTCGCATTTGTACTACAACCATCTTTCAAACAAGCAGTTATTTTCTGTACTTAATAGTAGGCTAAATATTCTCTTTTGTGAAATTTTTTTAAAGTATGTATTTTTAGAGCAAAAATATTAACCCAATTATGTTTTATCTTATTTCATCTAAAGGAGTAAGTTAGTTGTAGAAGTCTTTCATATTATATCTCTGTTTAGCTTCATGTCGTTTATGATTTCTTTCAAAATCAGATACATGAAAATGAAGGAACAATAAGAAAATAATTTCCCATTTTGTATTTTACTTCTTTTGAATGTTGGTAAAATCGCAAAGTAACAATGTTTCAAAATAGATATTTTAAAATTATCTTCCTCATGTCCCGACTGTATAATTTGTAGTGTACATATGCATCCGTAGTGTCCACGCACCAGGAACGAATTGTCCGATTGAGACAAAAAGTGGTAGGTAGAAAGATTATGTACAAAATAGAAAATTATTAAAATATCAGAAAAATTGAATGACTTATTTCAGAGTAACATAGTTCCATATAACAAGCTCAATAAGGTGTTGACCCACTTTTAGCCTGAATGCAAGCTCCCACACGACGTGACATAGAGTGAGAAAGTACCCTGATGTTCTCCTGCGGTATTTTTTGCCAAATTTGCTCCAATTGTCAGACCAGGTCATCAACATTCCCTGGTAGATGCAGTCTACTTCCCATCACATTCCAGACATGGTCGTTTTCATAAGCTGTAAGACAGCCCATAACAACACGTACAATATATGATCTGGCATTATCTTGCTGAAAAAAGGACCAGGGTACTGCAAAAGAAACGATAGCAAAATGGTTTTCAGAATATCGGCGAAGCACCGCTGTGCTGTAAGTGTGCCTCTAATGAAGACCAAAGGGGTCCAACTGTCAAAAGAAATGGCACCACTGAACATAACTCCTGGTTGAGGACCTGTGTGGCGTGCAATAGTGAAAGCAGGATCGGTACTCTACCCTGGGCGTCTCCAGACACTTCTTCAATGACACAGTTGGAAGCGGGATTCTTCACTAAGAATTATACGAACCCTGTCAGCATGATTCCAATCTGATCGAGCCAGGCACCACTGTAATCTGGCTCGACAGTGTGCAGGCATGAATAGCAGAAGGTGTAGTGATCGGTAAGAACGTAAAGTTTGCTCTATCAGCTGTCTGTGAATGGTCATGGTGGACACTCGTGTGCGAGTCGAACGTCTGATGGTTGATAACGATGAATCAGGTGCTGTGACAACTGATCTGACAACCAATCTATCTTTTCGATTTGCTGTGGCCCTAGGTCGACCTTTACCATCTTGACGCTGAAATCTGCCATTGCCCACCCATTTTTTCAAGCATATTCTAATGACCGCATTGCTTCAACTCGTATAACGAGCGATTCTCCGATTTGGCCTTTGTGCCTCTTTCATTCCAATCATACGGCCTTTTTCTAACTCTAACAGTTGCTGGTAATGCGCTCGAATCCTGTGGTGAGGAATAATTTCAGTCGTTGAAAAGTATCCTAAATCGCAATGCAACCGAAATTTCTGCATTCAGATTGAAAAATATACTTCTTACAAACACCTGCTGAGTGTGCAATTCCGATGCGCTGTAACTCTTTCCATTTATTCTTTGGACACCAAATTTTAATTATTTGCATGTTCGGGGCAAATGTCTTTCCAAACTTAATTTCATTACAATCGGCCAACTCTTTCTTGGTGCGTTTTTGTTGTTGTTGTTGTTATAGAGTGTATTTCAGCTTACGAAATGAATGGTTATATAAAATTGAAGATGTAAATAATTTTATCATATTTACAATGAGACTTTTTATTTAATTTTACGTTATAATGAATATATCCTGATACTTATTACAAATTAACATGAATATGAGTAAATTTTTTATTGCAGTATTTGTCTTAGGAGCAAAATTTCTGTTCATAAGCTGAAATTGAAAGTTATACACTGAAGAGCCAAGAAAACTGGTACACCTGCCTAATATCGTGTGGGCCTCCACGAGCATGCAGAAGTGTCAAAACACAAGATGGCATGGATTCGATTAATGTCTGAAGTAGTGCTGGAGGTAATTGACACCATGAATTATGCAGGGCTGTCCATAAATCAGTAGGAGAAAGAGGGGACGAAGATCTCTTTGGAACAGCACGTTGCAAGGCCTTCCAGGTTTGTTCAATAACGTTCACGTCAGGGGATTTTGGTGGCCAGCGAAAATGTCTAAATTCAAAAGAATGCTCCCGAAGCCACTATGTAGCAATTTTGGACATGTGGAGTGTCGCATTGTTCTG